GATGGGAATTACATAAGGTGATAGCAGTCTCTCCGGTTGTTTCATTCGTCTGCCAAGGACTGGAAGAGAGTGTCTGGAGATTCGGGACTTGACCCTCATGATGTTCACCTCCATTGTCACTGCCGCCCCTTCTGCCGCTCAAACCCAGAGCCTCCATCAGCCTTGATGCCTTGAATTCTCCTCTGTCCAGTGTGCCACCTCTCATTATTTAAAGCGGACCCTCTCGCTTTTTAGAAGTGAACCTTTTTGAGATTGATAGAGAGGTTACAAAGTGGCACAGCTCGGCCTTGATTGCCCCTGTGCACAGGTACCCCTTGCCACCTCACACAACATTCGCTCCTTTTCTGCTGGGTTCTGGAATTCATTGCCGTGGCTACACAGAACCCACAGACTATGTTCACAGTTATGGGGTTAGTAGGGAAGTTAATAGCTTGTAAGAGGTGGTACCCCCCAAAATCTGGATTTTTTTCCCCAAAGCTATGTATTTAAATTTTTTTACCAAACAACCTTATCACCTTCAAAGTATTTTGCATTACACTTTTACATTACACTCCAATACATTTGTCAAATCTGCGATTCCATTCTTGGAAACATTTTTCAGACTCATCTGTTTGGATGGCTGACAGCATCTCCCTCGTTTTTTTTCCTTCACCTCTTCTACATTGTTGTTGTCAAATCGCTGGCCTTTCATGTCCCTCTTCATTTGCGGAAACAAAAAGAAGTGCACAGAGCTAGGCTAGGTGAGTCAGCTTTGTGGGGCAAGAGAGGCATGCTGTTTTTTGCCCAAAACTGGCACACTGAGATGGGTGCATGAGCAGGTGTGTTGTCCTTGTGGCAAAACCAGACCCCCATCTGCCACAAATCTGACCTTTTTTGGTCCCACACTGTTACACTATCTTTTTAGACCCTCTAAATAGAAAGCTTGATTAACAGTCTGACCTGGTGGAATGAACTCCAAATTCAGTTCAAGTCAACATTTTCATATATTGGGGAAGTTGATGGAGGTCCAGAATGAGGTTTATC